ACTTTGCTGGATAAGCTACTTTCAAGGTCTGTTAACCATGAAATGTTCTAGTTTCTCAGTTCTTTTATGTCCGCACTATATGAAATGCAAAGTGCGGGGGGGGGGGACATTCTCTGAATTTCAGACCAGCAGCCTCTTAGTCCTAGCCTCCTATCCCTATCGTTTTTTCACTTTCAGGGTTGGAAGTCATAATGTTAATAAGGATAAACCATTAATGGATTGTTAAAAATAAATAAACCAGGCCTCAAGGCATGTGGCAAAACAAAATGAGCGTGCTCATCTAAAGAAAACCTCATAAGCTAGTATGCTAGCGCTAACACTCATAACTCTCACTTTCTAGTTTCGCTGTCTTTCTGACTGGCTGATAAAAGCAAATCTCCCAGTTACAAAATACTTCAAAGACCAGAAAGCCTTGCGGGCCGGAGGCGGGAAGAAACTTTTCATTGGCCCAATAAATTACTAAGATTGACGGGATTGGGCTCTTTCCTCCCTTTAACAGGGCAGTGGCGGAAGTGCGGAGTACGGTGGCCGTAATTGGGCTGGGAAAACCTGTGTGTTCCGGAGTAAATGCCTGATCTGCCAAGCTGCTCTTGCCGCTCGGCTTCTTGTTTCGGTTTTGCCCACGGAGGGAGATGGGGAGCCAGATTTCGAGTCTCGGCGGAGGCGGCTGGCCATGAAAGGCGGGCAGTCGGCAGGGAGCAGCTCCAGCACCTGCCATTGCACAGGAACAGCTTGGCGTGGGGGGGGCTGTCCGCCTGGGTGAGTCCAGGGTCGGCTTGGGACTTTTTTCTCTCTTTTCCCAATGCTGCTGCTGCCGCCCTGCCTCAGAACCCCACAAGGTGTGTTGGGCGATCTGCGCGCCCTGGCCGCTACTCTCCTGTCTGTGCGGAATTTCTTTAACGGTGGCGCTGACAGAAAGACCCTCTGCGTATGCTCAAGAGTCCCTTCGCTAAAACCAAGCGCACATTAAGCGGTTAAGCTGCTGCTCTTGGATGATGTTCCGGGCCTGAGGCTCCTCGTCCTCTCGCTTCCCCGCACCGTGCTTCCAGATTCCGACTCACAAGCAGGCAAAGTTCTGACGTGCTCCAGCTCGCCTCGGCAGACACCTGGGTGTCTCTCTCTGTTCTTTATCATAGTTAGCTGGTTTATTGTTTTCTAAGAAGTATTCCCATGCAATAGTTGTCCCGTATGGTTCATAATTCTGGCTTGTCATGATATGCGAACACAGCCATACTATGTGAACACAGCCACTGGGCTGAGTAAGGATTTGGAAATGTCTTCCTGATCCAAACATATCAAATCTGTACCTACGGTAGAGGCTTATATTGGCTCCACTGGTGTTTTGACATTTCTCTCCCACTCTTAGGGCTTAATTCTCAGCCTATAAACCCTAATACTCCCTTCTTTTTCTGCTTTGAGAACCTCAGATGTGGCTTCTGAAACTTGCTGGGATCTTCCTAACCAACCTGCAGTCTTCAGATTCTGTTGTCATGGCTCTTCTGGAATCCACTGTGCTCTCCTTCATACACTTCTAGGTATTGCCTTTATGACAAATACCTGATGCTGACCATGCATGGTAAGCAAGCTGGGTTTGAAATTTCTGTAGGATTTATGGACATGGGCATAAATTTTGCACTGGTTGCATGTTTCATAAGGCAAGAAAGCATGTGGGACTACTACAGATGCTTTTAGTTTAGTATCTAAAGTAGTTGTATATAATGTGTGCACGAGCTATGTAAAGAAAGGAAAAGTTGTCTCCTTTCCCCCCCCCCCCGTAATGATCACATGAGAAGCAATTCTTTAAAGACAAGGCCATAATTCAGCTTTTCTATATGAATTATCAGAAATGTTAGAAATTATTTTGTATATACGATCTCTGCTTGTACAAGTTAATTTTAATTCCTTGTTGATAATGCCCCAGTTTTTGCTATCAAACGAACCACCTCATTCTACCAGTAAATGATCACTAGGAAAAAGGATAAATAAAAAGGACTGATAGTTTTCTCTAACAAACCTGATTGTGAATGTGAAACCAGTTATTAGGACTATCCCAGGCATTTCTCTGTTTGCTCCTACAGTTTTCATTCCAATATCTCTTTCTTCTGGAACACATCAGATATTTATTTCCTACTACTGTTCCTTTCCTGCTCCAGAGTTTTGAGAATATAATATTCTTTTTCAAGATTTATGCTTCATTTATGATCACCTGTAATTTTACTCTGACAAGTTTTATAGCAATTTGTTTACTTTTGCTTTGGACAAAAGATTTTTCTCTTTTCTTGATTACTCTTAGCTTTCATTGCTGCGTATGATAGCCATCTTCTCTCTTATTATACTGAAAACTCTTGTATTCTTCTTGGCTGGCTGTATGGTTGTTGCTAGCTTTGTGTTTTTTGCACTATTTGATATACTAGCAGAGAGGGGTGACACATGGAATAGACAAACACAGCAGGACTTTTTGGTGATTGGTAGGAACTGCAAATGTAATTTGTATAAATACAAATAGGGAAAATGCTCATATTACCATCTTTTGGTATTTGCATCTGTTCTTTAAGCAGGACCTTTCATTAAATCTTATTTGTCAGAGAATCTCATCTCACAAGAAAAAAGCTGAAAGTGTTGCATTGTATACAAGTATTTCATATTATCAGTGTGTCTAATATTGCTATAGATCTACAGACAAATTTCTGATGGTTAATTTTTATACAGTGGGTGAACAGATTCTGTTTCAGAGTCTGTGTTATATATATGAAAATGTTAAAGGTTTCCTTTGTGGTGTGATATGGATGAGGACACTTGTGTATTTGTGTGCTTCTGTATATATGCCAGGAACATGGATGAAAGCAGCTACAAAAACACTAGAGTGTGGCTGTTTTTTGCAGATTTTTCATTAGCCAAACTAGGTAACCTCATCACTATTAGATATAGTTATTTGTGCTGAACGTGGCTTGTTTTTTCTACTGTGAACTTTCATTTCTTCAGTGGAAATGCTTATTAGATCATAAGACTTGTGTAATATGTACGTATAAATATTTTGCTCATAACAAGGACAGATTGTCTTGAGTCAACCAAGATGGCAGAAGCCACTCACAAGAAGAAAATTTCAATTAGCATTCTTCAGTTGCAGTATGCTTGCACTTTCTTTACTTCACTGACACGAAATTGGGGTCAGAAGATGTACTCTGATGGTGCTCATCCCATTTCCCACATAATTCACCTAGTCTTCTGCAACTTGGTGCATAAGTATACATTGGAATTTTATCATTCTACCAGAAAGCTCAGTCGGTAATTTTATGACAGTTTTCTGAACCCAAACTTTATTGTGAGAATAAAATGACAGGCTATTTCCATTCTACCTGGGAAACCTACAACAAATACAGAAAACACCAACTTGGCGGAAGCTAGCTAAGAACTTAAGTGCTGTTTGCTTTCTCTGGTTTTCCAGGTTATTACTTTTCCTACTTAAGTCTTTGTAGCACCATTGTTGTGACTACTGTCAGAAAAAACGTATTAGATATTTTGGACATTACAGTATCTATGCTATAGCTTTTAAGCCATACAGAGAAGGATTTTTGATTCCTGTGGTGACCTCTTGAGCCATTCTGTCCTGGCACTTAAAAAGCAACTGTTTTATCTCTGCTTGATTCCTAATATTTCATCAAACTGTTACTAACAAACATGACAGACAAAAAAAAAACCCAGTTACCTTCGACCCATTCTTGAAGTTATGACTGCAACATTCCCGTAGTCATGTGATTGCATTTGGGGCACTTGGCAAAATTTTATTATCAGTAGAAAAGCAGGATACAAATGAACACAAATGCTTCCTTTTTGTGTCCCTTATAACTTTGATTGTGCTCTCCTAAGACTGCTGATAAAGAGGGTTTCAGAAGGCTTCTTCTCACTTCTGATCTACTGGAATTGATTTCAATCAGAGTTGGACTAGGAAGTAAATATGATTTTCTCTTGGGTACCAGGTAGCCTTCCCTTCATGTCCACTCGTTCAGCGACTGTTCAGCATTATGGTGTAGTTGCAGCCATTACAGCATTCCTGTAATTAAATGATCGTGATTCAGGCACTTGGCAGCTGACTTACAATTTGTTGCAGCATTCTGCAGTCATATGATGGCATTTGTGATCTTCACTACCCATTTCCAGCAAGTAAAATCAAAAGGGGAGGTGGCAAGAGTTCATAAATTGTGATATCTGTGACCACTGGGATTCACCTAATGACTGCAACTAGGACTGCTGATATAAGTTGGCATAGTCATGTGATTTAGGTGAGGTGCACCTTACAACTCTGTGTTGCTTAGTGACAAAGTTCCCAATCCCAATTACCACTGATAAGAAAGAACTACCCGCATTCCTGGATGCTAAAAGTAATAAGACTTGTCAGAGACATCTGGTTTTCTGGTGACCTCCATTTCTGCCTGTTTTCTTAACTGGGCAGCCTGTGGACATCAATTGTCACAAATCATCTTGGAAAGTATCTTGAGTTCCTTTACTTGAAGAGATTTATAGTGTTAAAAACAGACAAAATGTATCTCAAGGAAGGAGACAATTTCCCCAGCGGAGACTTTAAATGAAAATGCTGAGCCCTACTTAAGCATTATGCAAGTACTTTTCTTGAGCCAAGTATGTTCCAGTATGTCTTCTAAAAGGACCACTTTGTAATATTCTAGAATTGGTAACGTAATTTTTTTCTTGGTACTTATAAAAAAAATTACTATCTAAACAGAACAGAACTATTAACAGAATTATTATCTAAACAGTGTATTTCTTAGACTATAAATTTTAAATACAATTGCAAACAAAGTATATTATTTATGCTATTTGGAAAGTAATTGGCTAAGACTTCTTCATTTTTTTTCTTCCAGTAATTTTGTCAGTAGTCTTTAGATCCTGATTCCTCATTCACAACTGTGTCTGTAAACTGGAGGATTGAGTACCAAAGTGAAAATCCATTTATACCTGCTGCCTTCCAGATGTTTGGGTTCACAACTTTTGGAAATCCTTATCGTTGGCCTTACTGGCTGGGGCTGCTGGGATCTGATCTTCATTAGACATGTGGATTTTTGTAGAAGGTATGTTTATGGTGCTCAAAAGAAAGAGGAATAACAAGGCCATAGTGTCAATAATTTCATCTATAAGAGATTCTTCCTATTCTGCTGTTAAATAGCACTGGGATCTTCCTTGTATTATTTAGTTATAGAAATTTGGGGGAAATTGATGTAAAAATCAATTTGAAAAACCAAGAGGAAGTTATTTGAACCATTTCATGTTTTGCATTTACCTGAAATGAAGATGACTCTCAATGTAAGATAGTGCCTCTCTAGAAAAAAGATTATAGAGAAAGAAAATTTTCAGTCTCCATTGTCATATTTTCTAGAAGTCTAAAATGAACCTTTTTTATAGTTAGATTTCTCCCAATTGATCTGATTTAGCAAAGAAAGCTAAAAAAAAAGAAGCAGAAGTACAGATTCTATAGCAAATATGGGTCCCCTGAATTTGAGTTGACTTTCTGTGGGCAACCTCTCTCTCTGTCAGATAGCACTAATGGTTGCTCACCACTGGAGATGCATTTGTTCCCAAAGTATTGTGCATGATCTTGGCTACAACCTTATCTCCTCTCTTCTGAATTTCAGTTCATTGCTATGGACAGTGCTATCACCTTGTGGCAGTTCCTTTTGCAACTTCTTCAGGAATCTCGGAATAAGGAGATTATCTGCTGGACCTCAAATGATGGAGAATTCAAACTTTTGCAAGCGGAAGAGGTGGCCCGCCTTTGGGGAATCCGTAAAAACAAGCCCAGCATGAACTATGACAAACTCAGTCGTGCACTCAGATATTATTATGTAAAGGTAACTTGGCCTTTTGTTTGCCTCAGATGTTTAACTTTCATTGCATTCCAGTGGCTCTAGAATTAGTGTTTTTCTCTCTCAGATTTCAATGGCAGGAATGTTGGGAATGCCATTAGAGTTTATTGAGCTAAACTGGAAACAGATAAAGTTGCTTGCCCATCTGAGTAAATGTATTTATTTCACGAATTAGCAACAATCAGTACTACTGTTCTACCTAGCCACTTGTTCTGTTTCGAAATAAGTTTATGTACCTCATTATTTGACATTTTGATTTATTCATTTGCATCCTCAGATTTTTAAAATATGTTAAAGGCTATTTTAACAATAAATATAGGTAATATTTTATGCAGAATTTCCATGGAACATGTAAATGCATACGGTATGATTCCCCCCCCCAATGTTTTCTGGAAAATTCTCAGTATGTTCTTGTTCTGTCCCAGCCTACGAGAGTCCTTGGTATGCTCACAAGGAGAAACCCCTCTTCCAACAAGCAGGCAGAAACCGCAGGAAAAAACCAACCCCTTTTATTCTCACAGACCTGAGTCAATGTCCAAGGCAAACAAACACAGTTCACAGAAACTTGATTCTCAATACGAAGGGTTGCCTTTGGCAACTAGCATCTCCCACACCTTCTCTTTTATAATTCAGCCCAAGGTGTGGCTTCCTAATGACTTTTCCTTTTCCTTTGGAGCCGCCCCATCGCATTCCTCTGTTCTACCCGCTTCTCTTGCCTGCGCCTTCGTGCATCCTGGATGTTTCCCAACTGTTCTTCATCACTGTCCAACTCAGGCTCCCAGCACAGCTGTGTCTCAGCCTGAGCGCGAGTAGAGGGGCCAGGCTCCTCGTCCGACTGTAAGTCTTGGAGCTCCTCAGAGCCTTCCTCTGATTCTAATGTCACTCCAGACCCCGCCTCCTCATCTGATTCCTCAGACTCAGCTGCCGGATCCACAGGCTGGCGAGGAATCACAACAGTTCTGAAAAGCTTAAGCTGATGTGCTTATTAGAATTTAACTTGGAATAATGTTGATTTGACTATTAAATGCTGCTTGTAATTTTATGATACATGTTGCTATAGAATAATGTGAATGCCATTGAATACTTTCTAGACACTTTTAAATGGCTGCAGTTTATACCGTTCTGAATATTTCAGATGTACATTTCCTTTCAGCTACATGAAAATGTTATGTACAATCAACTTTTAATACTTGATGCTGAAATGCATCATTGATATTGATGGAAGTATTATGTCTGAGATCAAAATTGGCTTATATTGCCTTCTGAATCAAAGAAATAAAATATGCAGTTGACTGAAACTATATTCATTATGAACAAACTTTTTTTTAAAGCTCTATGTTTTTAAATGCATTATTAATTTTTTTATTATTGATGGATTTGTTGGCATGTGGCTGGCCTCACAGTGAAACACGAAAGTACATTCTTATTTTCCCCAGTGCTATATGCTTCTAGATAAATGGATGTTGGGTATGTGTTCTGATTAGTATATGGATGTGTATCCACAAATCCCTTTCAAAACAAAAGTGAAGAAAGATATAAGTTTGAATTAGAACTACTTAGGGATCCCTTAGCTCATTGAGATAAGTGGGGCTTAATCAGTCACAATTCTCTCATCTTTAGTTAATCATACTGCCTCCTTGATTAGCTGAACTCTGTTTGGGGCAAGTATTCAAAGAGGGAGTGCCTAATCTCTGTTTTATTTTTGATGTTTTCACAGAACATCATCAAAAAAGTTAATGGTCAAAAGTTTGTTTACAAGTTTGTATCTTACCCAGAGATTTTGAATCTGGATCCATTGGTTGTTGGCAAGATTGAGGGTGATGCTGAGGCACAAGCTGGCTTTGTTGATGGTAGCAACTCTACAAAGGACATTGAAACTTATGGGAAAGAGAAGCATCAGGCCAGTGCGAAATCCTCTAATCGCAATGACTATATCCACTCAGGCCTATATTCTTCATTTACTTTGACCTCTCTTAATTCCTCCTCTTGTACAAAACTGTTTAAGCCAATTAAGATGGAGAATTCAGCTGAGAAGCTGACAGAGAAAAGAACTACTCAGGATTCAACACCTTCAGTCATAAAATTTGTAACCATGTCCTCCAAAAGGCCTTCTATATCTCCCCTTGCCTCAGCTACTCAACTGACCTCTACTATCCCAGCTGCCTCTATCGTATCTTCAGGTTCAGATGAAAGCCTCCAGGCCTTGGAATCTCTAGCAGCATCTAAAGGTGCAGCCACTGAAAGTTCAGCATCTTTGCCAAGCTTGACCTCTAATTTTAATTCCACATCTCCTGCAACCTCCATATCTCCTAGTCTCCAGGTTCCACACAAATCTCCTTTGCCACCACTAAGCTCTAATTCTGATCTGGTTATAGACACAGAAACTGAGTCTGTAGTTTGTCAGCAGTTGGAACACTTTCAGAATCAAGTCTTGGAGGTTAAAGAGATGGGTTCCTCCATGTTTGAAAAGAATCTTCGTCATAGCAGACCTAGAAAGCCTAAAGGACTGGAGATTACTCCCACTCTGGTTATTACTGGCAGTGACCCCAGTCCACTGGGAATACTGAGTCCTTCTCTACCAACTGCTTCTCTTACACCAGCACTTTTTTCACAGGTAATTCTGTCTTTTATTTGGGATCCAAATTCTGTACATGGACTTGTAATAGAATAGAAATTTGCCTGCTAATTCTGGGGATATTTAAGTTTGGGAATAAAAGTAGGAATTTAAGAGGCTGGCTATCTAGCTAAGGTTGTCATTGACCAGAAAATTGTCAAAATCTGTTTAGTATATATTATTAGTCTGTGCTTGATGGAGTTGATGCAGAATGTTGTGGGTTTTTTAATATTACTTTTCTTAAGAGACCTAGGCTTCCTAGATATTTTATAATTATTGCTAGTAAGGATAAAAGAGACAGTTTGGTATAGTTTCTAAGGCATCTGGCTAGAAACTGTGAGACAGAATTCTAGTCCTGCCTTGGATATGAAATGACTTTAGACCAGTCACTTGCTCTCGGCCCTAAGAAGGAAGCAATGGTAAACCATTTCTCAAACCACTTGACCAGGTAGTCTCTGAAAACTGGACATGATTGAATGGAAGAGTAAAAAAAACAAAAACAAATGCTAACATTTCACTATTTAATCATGTTTACTTAATTAGGAGTTGCTACCTTCTCTCCCTTTTAAGGAGAAATTTCTTCAACTGTTAAAGACCATATTTAATTATTATGGCTACAGCAACATTATGTGCAGCATAATTTTACTTAATGTAGAATTTTAAAAATCTATTTCTAGATGGTTTCGTATTCTAAATTAAGCAAGAACCCTGATGTACTTATAGCTATAGTTAATTTTGCTGCACATATAAAAATTGACTGTAATGAGTAAGCAAATTGAAATGTAATGAAGAATAGAGAGTTGATGGAGAATAGGTGATGCAATAGAATGAGTTAACTATTATTAAATACTTTGGATTAAATCCCAAAATAGCAACCCTGAATAATTTTAACCCACTTATTAGGGATGAACCCGCCACCAAGCAATAAAGTTCCAGAAAATAGTTGATCAAAATGAAAACAAAAGTAGTAACAAACTTGAGCTGCTGCTTTAGATTCATGGAATTCAGTGAACATATCAGAATATGACCACTTTGTCTTATAAGTAATTAAAAAATAATGTCAATTCTATCTCTGTTTTATGACTATTTGTGCAGAACATTTTGTTACATAGGTTATTTGCTTAATTTTTGTCCCATTAAGTTTTCTTGGACAGGAAATAAAGTAATTTAAAGCTGTTAGATTTCCCCTCCATCTCATCATACCTGTTAGGGTCTGACACTGAAATGGAGAAAAATTCTGTTCATCTCCTTCTCTTGCTGTATCTGGAAGAGGAAGATAGTTAACCAAATTGTCTTCCTGTTTTTGTGGTGTGCCATTATTCTTAGTGCCTAGACTAGACACTTAATAAAGGGTAGAAAGTCGAACTATTTCGACTTTCTACCTTTATTAACTGTCATATTGGTGTCTGATCCCAGACTAGTGATGTTAAAACATGTCTTGCCTTAGTGATATTGGATGCTTGTTAGTCATATTGAACTTATTGAGCATTTCCAAATGATTAGTTTTATCCTATTGTTCTGTATGTCCCACAGACACCTATTTTACTGACACCAAGCCCCTTGCTCTCCAGTATCCATTTTTGGAGTACTCTCAGTCCAGTTGCTCCTCTCAGTCCAGCAAGATTACAAGGTGCTAATTCTCTTTTTCAGGTAAGTTTCAGATCATGACAGCAAATAAAGTCAATGTAGCAGATATTTCCTAAATAGTCACATAAGAGTCAACCCTTTTCTTCATTAGGGCAAGATTATGCAACTTTAAGCCAAGGGCTAGACTTGGCCTTTATGCTTTGGGAGGAGGCTGCACTCCAAAAAAGGTCAAGAAGGTGACAAAGGGGTGAGCAAGAATAGGATAATTACTTTTCATTTAACTACAAGTAATCACATTACTTATCACATTTTAACCATTTATTATATTAAGAACTGCAGTTGACAGCTATATTTAGAGACAATTTAGACAATTTGACAGGTTGCACACCCTTTATTTAGCAGCAAAGCTTCATTTAAATCACTCATATTTCCTATCTGTTTGCAGCTGCTAAGCTTAGCAGTTTAGCAAAATAATTCAGTCCTCTACAATCTAGTGTCCTTCAGATAAATTGGGACTCCAACTCCTATATTCCCAGGCAAGTTTGTTGTTTTAATGATATTTGTGTAAATTAAAAGTTGAAGTCTAAAATAATATATTCTATAAGTAAATGAATTAGTTTACAACCTGAGTGAAAGTACAGTTAAAACAAAAGCTTGAGGATGCCTTGAATTGAGCCCACTCTTCTGATCACTGTGACCAGGGCAGCAAAACAAAAGTGAATAACTGTTGCCTTTCAATAGTTGTTTTTTGAGTTAACCTTGCTACCACCTCTGGAATTTTCAGTTGATGCCCCATTCAAGTACTAATTTAATCTACATTGTGGAACCCTATGGGTTCAGTGTTAACTTCTTCAGAATTGTTAAAAGCTTGTTAAATTTGAAGAACAAAAAGGAAGAGGCAGACCAAGTATCTCACCCAAAGCTTCATCCTCCAAATGTAGATGATGACTCTGACTCTGCATTGAGGGCTTTTTAATCTGTAGGGCTTTCTAATCTTCACACATATAAGGATCTTAATTTTTCAGTGTTACAAGAAAGTTGGCCTCTTAATGTGGAAAATATTATGAGGATAGGGATAGGTGTCATTGTTGAACTTATTTGTGCTTTTGTTCCACTTATTAAGATTTCCCCCCAAAATAAATGTGCTTATCTGTATCAGGGGCTCCATGTTGATCAGGGATGAGCATACTGCTTTGGGGGAGGGATTCATTTGAAATTTTAAGAGATGTAGGAGGTATACTCAAGAAAATGGCTGCCATAGCAGACTTCCCTGTTCATGAAATAACTACAAGGACAGCATGAACAAAAAGTAAAATAACCTTCTAGGTTGATCATCCCTGTGAGGATTTTGTAAAGCCAAAGAACTTCTAGTCAATAAATAAGATAGTGTGATGCTTTACTATGCAATAAAATTATACAGTACTGCATCTTGGTCACACCCATCCTGGTAATCAGTCCCATGAAGCCATCTGATAGCATCATTATCCTAGAATCAGAATCTTGGAACAGGAATGCTATCTGGGGTCTGGGAGTTGACATTCACACACCTTAAAATTGTTGAGGTTGAGAAACATTGTTTTAGGCAAATGAGTCCATCCTCCTGATTATGGAATTAGAAGAGGAAAGTTAAAAATGGTTACATCTTTTTTGCTTGATTTGAAAGATTTAAGGGAATTCAATATTTCTGCAAAAATAATCAAAATGCAGAAGAAAAATCAATAACCATAAAGACACCTTGCATTTTAAGATTTTACTGTATCATGCTAGAAGAAATGACTTGGTAACTTGGGCGCTTCTCTTTTGAAGCCATTTTGATAAAATCATATCATATGAATAAATGGCTGGGTAGCTTCCCTCTTGAAAAATGAATATGAAATTGTTACTTCGTCTTAAGGTGAAGAAATTAAAGCCTGTGGGTGTTTTGTTGATAACAAAAGCAAACCAGTGGAAAAGCTAACTGAAAATACAAATATTACCTTATAGACAACTGTAGCATTAAATATCTGTTTCTGTTTTATAGTTTCCATCAGTGCTGAATACTCATGGACCATTTACTCTGTCGGGAATAGATGGGCCTTCCACCCCTGGCCCCTTCTCCCCAGATTTGCAGAAGATTTAACGTACAACCTTTTGAAAATGGACAGCTTGGATTAAATAGAGGAAGAGGTTTTATTTAAAATGATGCAATCCAGGTTTTAAGAGACAGTTTTTAATTCCATAGAATCAATTTAAAGTGACTTGGTTTTTGCTATTCTCAGTTTAGATGCCTTTGCAAAATTCTCTTTTAAGACATAGGAGAATTCATAAGGAAGTGCCTTGACTGTGGAGATTCTTCTTTAGAGTTTCTCTCTCCCCCTGTTCCTTAGTGCTTCTTTTGAATGAAGAAGTCTACTTTTAATAAAGAAAACACTTTTGTATTATAATTAAGTCTTAGACAGAACAGCCAACTGATATCAGATGGATTTTTTTTTTTACTGATATCCATTCATTCCTTTGCTTTTTGTTTTTTATGTCAAAATATTAATTCATGGAAGCTGGCATTCCAAGAAATACTTGGAAAGTGAATAAAAAGATTTATTTTTTACAGTAAATTCCAATGACCTTAAAAAGCTTTAGCATTGCAACTTACAGTAGTGTAGAAGAGAATTGAGCAAAATTTTAAGAATGGTTGCTATGGGTAAGAAAGCTCTTTTTTCTTTGGCAAAAATGTCAGTTCATCCCTCACATACTATGGTATTTTGTATGTTTGAATGATTTAGTTATGCATAGAACATGGATTGAGTTGCTTTGATCTTTCCAAAATATTTAAAGGTGTTAATATTTGATAAGCCAAGTCAAGAAAAACAAAATCAAATCCCTTATTGTATAATTAACAATTTAGTAGGTTGAGCTAATTATAGAACCTTGCAGTGGATATGTGGTGGCACTGGATTAATAAGCATTTATTTGACATGCAGTGGGTTATTGTTGTCTTGCTTTTTGTTAATGTTGTACGTAGGTGTGACATTTGGGAAGTGAACATTTATTGTTTATTCTTTTCCCCTCTCGAAGAAGGAAAGAGACATACCTTCTCTTGGCCTCCTACATATCTAGGTGTTCTTTTAAATATAAGTGGATTGAAGTTTTGAATGTTCAAGCCTTTAAAATTAGAAATGTCCCATTATTAGAAAGTACTCTGACTAGTTAAGTGTTTGAGATTGGAGGGAGAAAGAAAAAGTGGCACATGCTGTTTGTAATTTGAAAGGAGTAAAATGTCTTTTTAGCCTGTACTTAATCTTGTAGGAAGATATTCATTGGATAACAACTTCAGCATGATGGTAGTTGAGATTTCTTTGTAAACATATGGTAACATAATGATGCCTTGCTAAAGTGGGAGACTTATTTGGGGGACTAGAAATTGAAAGTAAAATGGATAGATCTAACATCACTAATAGTAGTTGTCTCTCAGTTGAATTGCAAGAAGATTCACTCTTTCTGCATATTAATTATATTCAGGCCCTGTTATATTTCAAAAAAACACTTTAGATCTTGTTGCTTCAATAGCTTATTAGAAAGTTGAAGTAGATATCAGTAAAGCGTTTTAATCCTTTTTTCTGTATCGAGGTGGGCTTGGTTTGAAAAGGGCTAATAACCTATGGGTTTTTATTCATATACTTATTCAGGCATTCTGAACAGGCCTCCTAAGTTGGTTAGTATGCAAGAGTGCCTCAAGGTATCCGACTAAAGTAGGAGACTTGCTGATTTGTCTACATTAAACTGTAATTAGTTCCCTTGATCAGGCAGGGATTCGAAAGGCCCAATCCTGTCTCTTGTTGAACCTAATTGAATATATATGGATCTCTTTCAGTATAGATATGTAAAACATTGATGGCAGGTAACAAAAGAGAGCCAGTTTGGTTTAGTGGTTAGAAATTTAGAAAGCAGGAGTGTCACCTTATCCATGAAAGCCAGTTGGGTGACCTTGGGCCAGTCACTCTCTTTCCGTCCAACTTACTTCAGAGGTTTGTTGCTGTGGGGAAACTGTGCCTGACTCCTTGTGATCCCATGGACTGCAACACGCCAGGCTCCCTGTCCTCCACTATCTCCTGGATTCCGCCCAAACTCACACCCATTGCGTTGATGACACTGTCGCATCCTCTGCCGATCCCTTCTCCTTTTGCCTTCAATCTTTCCCAATATCAGGGTTTTTTCCAGTGAGTCCTCTCTTCAAAAGGCGGGATACACATAAATAAAAATAAATAAAAAACTAGATATCTTGCATTCTTACGTTGCACAGCAGGCAGTGTCCAGGTCAGAGCAGCATTTAAGGGCAGCCATTCTAGACTGGCTGCTGACAGCATATGTATTAGATAGGAAAGGTTTTAAAAATGAATTTTTGCTATAACTACCATGGAGAGTAATGGTGGTTAAAATATTTGCTGCTCATCTCCTTTGCCACTCAGACGACAGAAAGGATTGCAGATTCCAGTTGAATCTTAGGGAAAAAAATAACTGATGGACTTAGAGCAGCCATTTGCATGGGTGCTTTTATTAAAATTCCTGCACTGTAGAGAAGATTTGATGGCCTAAATCAGTGTTCCTCAAACTTGGCAACTTTAAGTATATGGACATGAATTCCTAGAATTTCTCAACCAGTGCTGGTTGGGAAATTCTTGGAGTTGAAGTTCACACATTTGAAAGTTGCCAAGGTTGAGAAACACTGGCCTGAATGGCTTTTGCCTTCTTTGGGAGGGGGTGTGTGTCTCCCTTTTTCAGTATTGTGCTTTCCTATATGGTACAAGGAGCAACTGCTAATAATACATGTATTTAGATTTGCAAGTGAACCAAAACTTAGATCATCCTGAAAACAGTTTTGTTTATCCTAGTTTCATTAGTCCAATAGGCTCAGAAAAAATGCTCTGCTATAAACCACTGGCCTCCTTATGCCAAGATTCAGATATAGCGTTTCCATTTTTACTGACTTAATAGAACTGTTCTTTGGTTTTACGGAAATTTATGTGTGAGAGAAATTTTGAATTTCTCCTTGCCTCATCATTAATAAATAATTTTCCTCTTATTTTCTATTTAAGAATGCATTTTGGGAGCCAGAACTGGAGGTGGCCACTATATTTGATATGGAAGATAACAGTCTTTAGGCATTACATAGTGGCATTACCTCAAAAAGTTTCCCTGTAATAAAAAAAAATCCCCATTGCTAACTTTTCTGTCATTTATTTAGACAGATATTTTATACTGGTCTACTTCCTGGCTGGTTGACCTACTATTTTCTTTTTAATTTTACATGCTTACATTTTGAATAGAATTTTTGTCCCATTGCAGCTGTTCACCTAGGTACTTCATTACTATTTTCTAAAAACCCATTTAGTAAACTCTGACCATCGAGGATGGAGGAAATGCAGATTGAGAGAGGGACAGTAAAGGGTTAACCTCCATTTTACACCCCAGATACTACAGATGATTTTTATTTCCAGATACCAGATTCCAGATCTAGATTTTATTTTGCTTTTCATGTATGTTTTCTTTAATTGTGTTAGATAATAAACATTTTCATGCTTTCAGCTGCTAGATCATGTTACCATACACATTAGTCAGATGGTATCTTACTTTGATACAATTACTGATTAAAAAATATCGGGTACTTTACTGAATTTTCTTAATGCCATATTTTTATTATCTGATGATTAGAGAAAACAACAATCTCTATATTTATCTTTACAATATTATGTTATACGTTAGCATGAATTGATATGCATTGGTTTTTATTTAATCAGTGTTTAAACAAATGTTGAGTCTCCTAAATAATTCATTATATAGTTACTCTTTTATTGCATTTTTATATGTGAACACATATAAACAATCATTCATTCAAAAGAGCTCAATATTCTGTCCAGATTATACTGGTTAGAGCTTTGTTTTTTTAAGGGAATATTAAAGTAGATGTTACTTTTCAAGTTTTAAAGTATGCAGTGAAAATTTTATTTCACAAACTACTTTTCTGAGGGCTCCTTTCCCCATCTCATAACTGGTATGAAAACAGATTGTGAAAGGTCATAAAGTACACAATGTGAGGAAATGCCAAAGAACTTTAATTCTCCTTTGTTGTCATGATAATGTTTTCTGAATGTAAATCAGTGACATTTTAATTTAATAACCAAATACTTCCACAAGCTTGTTGATATTTTCAAAATTTTGTTTAGAAAGAAGCATTAGGATAATACTCATGGTACTGGAAAATATGAGGTATAGTTCTTAAGGACTGGAGTACTTTTCCAAAATAAAAATTGAAATTAACTATCAGTAATTATCAGTGAGTGAGCCAAGATGGTGTAATGTTTACTCGAAACTACCACTGATTTTAATGAATATGAATATGTTACAGAATGTTGACATCTTGAAGGAGTTAAAAGTGATAAAACTGGTTTTATAGCTCTAGACTAGGTATGTCCAGCCTGCAGACTGTATATGGCCCTGGACAGCTAGTAATATGGAGCCAGAAGGTAATAAAAAATATTAAAAAATAAAGGAAATTTGCTATTTATATACATTAACTATATTGTGTATTTTATATGCGGCCCAAGACAATTCCTCTTCACTCAATGCAGCCTAAGAAACTATGGTTGGACAACTATGCTCTAGATTTGTTAATTAGGATTTGTACTAATACTAAGGGTATTGTGACTTTTTCTTTGAATGGCTATTTGCTTTTTATTCCTAGATAAAATGCTTCTGAAAGTAGTTTACAATGTTACTATCAAAGCTTGACTGATCTTGTTAAAATATGAATATAATGTCACCTTTAAGTCTATGGAACTACTGCCATAATATGATGGTTGCTGACTATGGTTTAAAAGAGTTTTCTCTTGGGGTCACTCTTATACTATGGAATGTTATTAATCACAATAATGAAGCTAATTCTATTGCTTGGAGAAATTGGTAGCTAATGGAGTATTTCGTAGAGTTAAACAACCAAAATGGTATCCAGATTGTTTTATTAAACATGATTGAAAGGTACTGAACTTTATAGTTGCAGTTTTTAAAATGAGTTATACATTCAGGATTTCTAATATTATGGGTCATTGTGTCATATTTCTCTATTTGTTAAAACATAATTTTGAAGCTACTAAAGTATCATTTTCTCCAAAAATATCTTAAAACCAATATTCTGAAGATGAGTCAAAGGGTAGCCTTGTTCATACAACTGTGTTTCTCATATAAATAACCTGAATGATTGAAATAGTTGTTACCACATGAATGAATCTTTGCTTGAAGCAGCTTTCACATTTGCAAATTAAATCTTTCATTTAGTTTGCCATTCCATGTTGCTACTGCTTAAATTGAAGAAGTAAGCTTTTCTTTAGTTGAAGTGCCATCAAAGCTAAATTGGGTCAGCATCATTTATTTTCATGCTGTTGAAAAAGATCTGAATGGATTGGCTCAAAATAAGATTTCTGTGTAATGA